TCTCTCTCTCTCTCTCTCTCTCTCTTTCTCTCTCGTCTCTACCTGACTCTACGAGTAGGCAGATAAATCCGCCGCCTACTACTACTCGCCGCGGCGGACAATGCGCTCGGGCCGGCGCATCATCGTCGGTATTGTTTGCCCGGCCAACGGGCGCACCGCCCGGCTTTTCTCGCAGGTGCTGCGAGCGGAGGGGAGCGGAGGAGCGTGTCCGCACACCTCAGCCATCACGTAATACGACGACGGGCGCAACGGGGCACGCGGGAATTTCCTGGAAATCAAGTCGCTCGAGGAAGCCGCCGCTTTCCCGTGTTCCGCGCGTGGAAATGACGGCCGCGATTTCACGACACGTGTTCGTCGCGCATTGTGCCCGTCGCATCGCGCCGATTCCGCGAAAGCGGCCGGAATCGGTGGTAGTTGGCTTTAATGACGTGGGAACGGGCGCGTCGCGAGTTTTCGGTCCGCGCCGATCTCATCTCGCGGAGAAATGAGGGAGACAGGGGGGATAAAAAAAAGAGAGAGAAATCAATTCTCCTTCCCACCCCCTCCCCTCGGGAGAAGAGAACTTTTCTCGGTAAGTCGTCAGCGCGTCTACGTATCCGGCATCGACAGACGGCGGGCAGCAAAAACGCCTCTTTGTAATAATAATGACTTCCATCTGCGCGGCCAATGTGTATCATTTTTGGCATGATAGAAAGAAATGTTGCGTGTTGTCACGCTTACCTGGCGCCCCTACGGCACCGGGGCGAGAGATTGGCGCATCTGCGGACGCATCACCGTTCCGAGAGGAAAGCGAAGGAGCGTTCGGTACGATTCCTCATCATACGACTGTTCCCGGAACGAGGGGAGGCTTCCTCTCCCTCCCGCGATCTCTTCTGCTCTTCTCTACTTATTACCTTTCCTCTCCTAATTCTCGTCGTTCTCCTTCGGCTCGTTCGCGTCTTCGTTCTCGCCCAATTCTCCTTTCTTTCCTACCGTCGTTTCTTTTTCTCCCGCTGAGGTCGCGGAGTGGAAGTGCCACCGTCACCGTCACCCGATTCCCCTCTTTTTAGACGACGACGTATATTTCCACGAAATCGTTCCGCCGTACACCAATTTTGGCGCGACGTGGTGGCACGGTCGCTAGAGGAAAATTACAGAGTTCGGGGATAAAAGATGGTAGCGGGAGCAGAGGACGAGGAGGACGCAAAGAGGAGGAAGGAGCCGGAGCGGTCCCGTGGATACCGGAGGAAGAACCACGGCGCGCGATAATCTGAGACCGAAGAAAGGAAAGGACCGAGGTCTCGTCATTAAGCGAAATGATTGCCGTTCGCGGGGACCACCTACACCTGCAAAGAGGCGCTTCCCAAGGACGGGGGCACCCCAAGGATACTGGACTGTGCGTCTTTACAAGCGTACGAATGGGAACCCCGCGGTTTCGTCGATCCACTTCCGGCGGAGCCAATCAGCCGACATCGGCCGCCCAAGAAAACGACGCGATGCACCAGGCTAAGTATTTCGGAAGATCAAAAACGAGCGGTCGTGTCATTACGTGTCGAAAGTAAAGTAGGATAGATGCACCGGTAAATGATTGCTTAAAGAATATCGTTAGGCGTTTCAATTCTCTATTCTACAT